TGCAGCAGTACTACCTATGCCGAACGGATGTCCCTCCAGCCATCTTCAAGAGACGCTGCCTGTTGCGCGTAGTCCTGGCAACTCCGGTGTCCCGTAGTTGCTCAATGTTGGGTCGCGGCGTTCGACTTCGACGGGTGTTATGCACCGTGGAGAGTTTTGATCGCATGCATACTGCAACTTGGTAGTGGTCCGAATCTATGTTCGTACTGCGGTACGTGCGGACGTTCATAATATCGGAGAAGAATTTCCAGTCGATTGGAACGTGATCGATTTGGTTTTCTTTGTGTTGGTCGGGTGATCTCCAGGTGGACTTGTGGATATCCTTGCGGGGGAATAAGGTACTTCGAACTACCTTACCCCGAGAGGCTGCAAAGTTCAGGCATCGGTGGCCGTTGTCGTTCGATACGGCATGCAGGCTGTTTGGCCCGATTGCCGGTCTGTACATTGCCATCGTTATCAGCAGGTTAAATAAGTTCTGTGTAATCCACGAATGTGAAACAGGGCGAGCCATAGTAACATCACCGGTAGGGTACCGCATCGGCAAGTCCCCATCGCAACATTAATGTATTAGCTGGCATAAGGGAAGATACAAGAGAGGGGGGGTTTGTGTCGATTCATGGATAGCTGTAACTTCATTAGGTGGTTATTTCGAGTATAAGCAAAATATAGGTAAAATTAGTAAGAAATTACCTAATTACTTATTATGCCTGACTTCACCGTGATGTTGTTGTTAGCGTTCTTGATGACGCCGCCCTCTATAGGTCTGGCGATGAGTCCGAGGAAAATCCCAGAATGGCGTTTATTTCCTCATCAGGGAATCCCTCGAATTTCGTTGGGTAAAGGTCATCGCTGCTGCTATCGTCTGATGTTGTTACATCGCTCGCTTCGTACACAGATTCAACCATTGTAGTGGCGTTGTAGGTGGCGTTTTGAAATTGTTTTCTGTTATTTGCCAGCTCTTTCCAGAAATTCAGGTAATGGCTCGATCTCTTGATATCCTGTTCCTGTTTTCCAGGTGTAATACGGCGATCAACTCTTTTCTTCCCTGTGATTTATGATCGTTGTCTTCTTCAAAACTTTATCGTCTTGATCTAAAAAAAAAAAGAAAATCGCCACTCGATCAAGCCAAATTCAATGGTAGTGGTGTATGATGTCGCATTCCAATAGTGTTGAACCAAATGAATAATAAAAAAAAACCTTTTCATTCTTGCAGCCATTAGACTGAATTATTTAGAAAAAAAAATTTACACAATTACACATAATTATTTAATTTTGGTTTGTAGTTGAATTCCAACAAATTTTTGGTCCGCTACATCACAACTGGCATCACTAGTGTGCATCTTTCAAAATATAAAGATACAGACAAGCCTGGTACCTGGTGGCAGTTGAAGAATCCTCAAGGTTATGCCAATGCCCAGGGAGGTTGTCAGTTGTGCTGTTATCATACCTGAATCTGGTGTGCTGAAGTTATTTTCTCCTGATCGGGTATGCTATGCTTTTGGAGTATTAGTGATCCACCATACACAGACAAATGTTTGAATTTTACTGGTGATGGCAAACATTCATGCAGGTAAACTTCCTTTTCACGTAAACTAGCAACTTGCAGGAAATGTTGCTTACAAATATGGATTGCATACAATATTTGAAATATTTCATGAAATGTCTCATAAATTTACCCGATCTATAATGTAAACTTGTATAATATATGATGCTCCTTTAATGTACATCATAGTAACAGAAATTTACACTACTTTTTTTTAACTGTGTAGAAAAGCACCACGTATTAGGTGGTATTAATGGTTCGAAATGAGGTACAAATAGATTGGAGATAGTTGAAAAAAAGTCTGAGAAGGTCGATTCTTCAGTGTTCCCTCGGCTCTCGACAGAAGCAGGCCACTTTTGATGTGTGTCACACGATCATCTGTTTACTCGACAGCAACCATTGTGTGGTCCTCCTCATTGTTCTTCATGAGCAGTTCGTTCGGTCGATGCGTCGTCGACTTTGGAAAGCAACCGTTTCGTGATGAGTGTGTGTGTGCTGACCACGTTTTGCGTCCATTTCTGAAATGGAAGCTGTAAACCCATTGCTGCTCAGTGGGAAAAGGGATCAAAAGGGTCGGAAGAGGAACAACGATACACCACTCTCGCTCATCAAACGGCTATCATGAAGAACTCACAACGTTAAGGAAGTATCCATAAATAGGGCAGCGGGATTAGCTATGGCATATAACTGTATCATGATTTTTATGCTCAAAAGCCGCAGTGTAAAAACATTCATGAAATAACCGCAAAGGGAGGGAGGCATGGAGACTTCTTTCGAGTCCGGAAGAACGAAGCAAACACAAAAGGTAGTGAAATCATCAAACAGTATGAAAAGTCACCAAGAAATACGCTTACATTATGCTATATTCAAAGGTTTTGGTGTATACAGAAAAATTGATAGATTGTATAGCTTAATTCTAGATTTTTGACGTCACATACTGCTACTTGCGGTTTGTTTTGGTGGTGGGGGCGATTATGGCTAATGCGTGGCGATCGGGCAACGGTAGGGCGACCGGTGCGGGGCAGCTGTGATGCGACCGGTGCGGGGGAGCACCGATGGTGGTGCTGCCCGAGTAGCACACTTTCATCAAAATAAGTTACAGCAACTTGTTTATGACTGAAATAAGTCGTATATAAGTTTCTACGATTGATTTATGACAAGCGTGCTACTAGGGTGGTGCTTGGTAGCGGTGGTGTAACCGGTGAGGGGTCAGCGATGGTGATGCTGGTGCGAGGCAGCGGTAGTGCGACCGGTGCGATGGTGATTCGGGTGTATCGGCACCGCACACCGGGAGTACGTGAGAACCACGTACCTGTTTCAGCGGATTCACTCACAGGACATGCAATTTCCACCGGGTCATGCAGGTGATCAATCCGAACGTGCAGTGATCGATGTGTATATGGCCGATGGGGGTGGATTTCGTTCGACAGTAGGTGATGGTGAGGTCGACTGAGCGGTTGGGACCGAACGGCGATGGTTTCCCGTCAACTCAAGCAATCAATGCCTCTGCTGATATCCTCCAAACGGGTTTAACTTCTATACAGCCTGAAGGGGATGAAAGTATGCCAGATCCAACGTGGTTCTTCCTCAAAATGGCCGCGCCTACGGTCCGTCCTTCGACCGTCAGGGGAAACGATGGCCGTTGTATCCGAATAAAGCTGTCGAAACAAAAGAAAAAGGCCCTTTTGTGGACCTAATCGCCGCTAATTAGTTGCGCACTACACATGTCAATTTTGCCCTGCCCAGAATCACCCAATAAACCGCAAGTTTACAAGCATCGTATATACATAAAGATTTTTCACAATGTAATAATACAATTTACAATAAATTACCTTTTCTTACAGACAACAATGTTCCGTGCCAATGAACATTCAAAGTAGGTGACAATAGTTCACACTACCCTAGTTGGAGAACAAAGGGAGCACCATTAATTTCACCGCATTTCCCTGACTAACAATACTAACCACTTTTAGCTTTAGCGTACTAGTTTTAACTTTAGTGTTGTCAGTACTATCTTTACTAACACGCTTTACACGCACTCGATCCTATAATTGGAAAACCAAACACAATGATTAATAATTTCACTACCGTTTCGCCCTTTCGGCGAACCTACGAGAAAATCTAGCACGGTGCGCACTGAGACTATTCCCGAGTGCGGTCAAGACTGCAATGAATTTTACACCTGCTAATACCACAGACAGACATACAAATTAGGGGCTGTCCATAAACTACGTAGACAGGTTGGGGGGGGGGGTTGACAATTATTCACGGCCCATACAAATTTTAATTTTTTTGTATGTACAATTGTCTACGTAGGGGGGGGGGGGAGGTCAATAATCCCAAAATACTGTCTACGTAGTTTATGAACAGGCCCTTAGTACCGTTGTACTTCTTTAATCTAGTACCTCAAAACGTACAATTTGTGGTACTAGCTTAAAGTAGTACAACAGTGAACTATGTATGTCTGTACAATGTATAACAAGCCAATAAAGATCGACAAAACCATGTCCTACGAACAAACCCAAATTTCGCCGTATTTACTTTTTTTAATTTATCTGCATTGCCTCTCCCCTCACCCCGTCCACAGACAACCTATTCGGCTGAGAGTCTATGACAGCAAATTCGATAAGAGTGAGTGGTGCCGTGGGAGACTGGAAAGGTACGGGAAAGTGAGCAGTTGCAGAGGATTAGGATTTTGGTCGCACTTCTCAAGTAAACTGTTATACACTTGTCTTGCAAGCCATATTTTTGGAACCATCGGTTACAAAGCGCTCGGCCCGCCGTTGGCGATACTGCCATACAATGGAACCATTGGAAGCGGCTCCCGTTGTGATGGAGGATGAATATTGGATAGCGGAAGATAAAGTGTTTATTGTGTTGTACTTTTTGACTATAGTTTTAAGATGTATTCCCAAGTAGCATTGCAAGCTTTATAGAGGTTTTATAGCATTCTACAAGTCTGAATCGTGGTCTACAGAACCCTCATAAAACCAAAATTGTTACTTGGGTTGTATAGTGAACAAGAATCCTCGGGTCTGTAAAGTAAATTCAATTGAACCTTATCAAATAAATTAATTATAAACAAGGTCGATTCTTTAAAAAAAAAATTGTATCGTGGTCTCCACCAGATCTCGAAGTTTCATGCATTATTGGGTGTTTGTTCGGTATACAAGTTTAACACTTTGATGATTTAATGATGCCCGATTAAGCCCCAATTTTGCAGACGGTCTTTTTTCGAGGCAATACACATTTTGCACATGGTCTGTTTGGAAAATTCAAGTGTCACATTGATACATTCATTGGCACCTAAATATGCATGAAACATATTCTGATGGGAATCTGCTTTGTAAAAAATATCCATTTAATGCCATTTTTAGTCTAGACAACTGTATTAAGCGTTACACAACTTTTTGGTGATTAATCCAAGCCCACAATTGACAAACTCCTCATAACTCACCTTCTCGCAGAGTCACGAAGTAATACGACTCCCTGGACGGTAAGCTGTGACCATGCTCGTTGACGGCGATCACCCGGAAGCTGTAGACGGTGAATGGAACTAGTCCTGTGACCTGGAAAGAGGCCTGATTGCTATTGGTGTAAATTGGTTCCATCTGATCCCAGTCACCGTTTTCGCCGACCCTGCAAGAAAAGGGGAAAAACAGACCATAAGCAGAACGTACCAACTAACCTACAAAATGTCATGAAATTTTCCGTCGAAGGAACAAAAAAAAAACACTCGTTATATGAGAGCAAGATAAAATGTGGCGCTGCTGCCATTTTGAGGTGAGTGCATTTTGCTTGGTTGTGGAATACGTTTCTTTAAAATTTATGCGCGCAAATGTTTCCACCCTCGCAACACCCTCCGCGAGTGAGTGAGTGAGTGAGTGAACCTAGCTCGGCAAGAAAGCCATTCTGGGGTAGTCAACGCGAAAGCTACAACTGTCAAGTGTGCACGTTAGGATGTATGTATGTTCCCGTGCAAAGCCAAGCAAGTGGAAAAGAAATATTATTTCACTCTCGGGGCTTTCCACCAGCTTCAGTTTTTAAGACATAGGTACAAGCTTTAGCCGCCCTTGTTGGTCGGGTGGCTTGGCGTCGCTTTGGGCCCTGGGTTGGTTATGCATGCAGTATGCTTCCGAATAAGGGTAGCTGAATCGGAAAGTAGAGGGTTGAAACTTTATGCTGTATGTTTAGCTTAGTGTAGTAGTGCTTTGCTTTCTTTTTCTCTTTTCCGTTTTTTTTTTTGTTCCAAGCCGACACTGTTCGTTGTTGAAAGTCATCTTAAAAGCTTCCTCCCGCACTTGCCGTTGCATTCGTGCAGTGTGCACCAACCAAATGCCAAATGGGGGAGCTGCGTTCTGGTTTCTGGGGAATTCAGGCGGTGCCGGTGGCCCCATTTGTTGCCAGCCAGTATGCAACCGAAATCAGCAGCATAAATTTTACTCGCAAGAATAAATAAAAACACCTATACACACCATTGATATGGACATGGTACGCCATGAATGGATTGTACGCTACAAGACAGGGAAAAACATATAAATAAGACGTACGGACGGGAAGTCACGCTGAGAGATTGAAAAATTAGCGGTGGCTGTAAATTTATCGTGATTCTCTGGTGAAATGGTAATCCCAGAGACATTAAGATCATTCGTTCTGCAACATAATTGAATCTTTGCTGAAGATAAAATGTAAATTTTGTGTTTAACGTTAAATAAAGCATGCATCATTTCAAACTCTGATGTACAGCTTTTGTTTTATAGCAACGCCCTTAGTGATCGATTCGGGAATGTTTCGACAGCAGTTTTTAAGTGCTGAAAATTTCGTCACGATTCACGTGGTTAAAAAAAAATTGAGCCAAAATTTCCCAAATTGATCGAAAATCAGACAGGGTCAGCTATAAGAATCGTGAAAGCATTCAAATTGGCGATAACAAGAAAATGTCCCCGGCATTGGGGTTGAACGAAGACTGCCCAACCTCCAGCGTCATGTATTCGTAGTACAAATTCATGAATCGAGTTTGCGGATTTCGGTCGAGCAGCTTCTCAAAGTTCTCTATTACCAATGGATTCATAACTTCGCAACGGATGAGAAACCGGAAAGACAGCACAGCGAAACGATCTGTTAAGGGGAGTACACCCGCGAGTACCTCGAGACTCATCATATGCGTCGAGCTGCAGCTGTTGCAGCTTCAAAATGTGTTTGTTTGCCACCGATTGAAAATAAAAGCTACCGTACTCTAAAACAAGTAGAATGGTTGTTCGGTACAACCTTATCAAGTCTTCCAGACGGGCTCCCCAAATTGATTATTTGCTGGTATTTTTGACTCAAACACGCAATATGTTTTTTCCATGTGCATTTGGAATCGAACCAGACACCTCTAAATACTTAAAAGACATGCTATGAGTGACTGTTTTACCCATTAGTTGAAGCTGTATTTATGCTGGGTAATGCTTCCTAGAAAAATCACAACCATCTCAGATTTCTCTGGAGAGAATTCGATACCCAGCTTCATAGCCCAAGAAGACAAATTGTCCAAGGTATCTTGCAGGTCAGGTGCTTTTGATCCTTTAACGGAAACCACGCCGTCATCTGCAAGCTGCCTTAGCGAGCAATCGTCAATGTCCTTTACACTAAAAATATAAAAAAGGGGGCTTAAACATGAGCCCTGGGGGAGGCCCATGTAACTGATTCGTGAAGTTGTCGAGTTTCCACGAGAAAAGCTCATATATTTCTCTGACAAAAAATTGCTCAAAAAGTTGTTGAGAATTGGTGAAAGCCCACTATCGTGGAATTTAAACGAAAGGGCATCGATACAAACAGATTCAAAAACCCCCTTAATATCCATAAATACTGAGCCCATTTGCTATTTCTGAGCATAGGCCACCCAAGTAACATTTTAAGTTTTATGAAATACTACAAAGCAACTATAAAACAACATTCATAACCCTGGTTAAGGCTATTTTGTCATTAATACATCCACCAAAACCTCATTAAGACCAGAATATGTCTAGTTGGCCCACCCTGGAGAGCGTTCTGAAGGGTATATTCTCGAAGCTCTTCAAGATTGATTTACTGCAAAAGGTTATATGACGAACGCATTGAGAACCATTTGAAAGCTACAACAAAAGCTATTTAGCAACAATAAAAACCCTTTCCGAGCCATTTCCCTTAGCCGCTTGCTAAATCCACTAGAAAATCATCAATCAAGAAAGAAAAGGATTTATGAATCTGATCTTATCAAAATAATTAAAATAGAAACTGATGGTATAAAAATCTTGTTGAATATCCAAATGTATTGCAATAGTTCTTATTAAGGTGAAAGTTAATGCTTTTCCGTTGATACTGAATCCACACCCGTTCAAACCACCCCCAAATTCAAAATGCACCAATACCAACAAGCATTGCATGGGAAGTATTGAAATTTTTAACATATTCGTAAACACAATATTATTGTATAGTTATAATATTTCTACTACTGAAATGACAACATCAATTCCAAGATTCCAAGTTCAGGGTAGTCCTACCAATGCTCAGGGAAGTCTTGCCGTAGTTTAGGAAATGCCTGCCGAACTTCAGCGAAGTCCTTATGAAGTTCAGGGAAGCCCTGTCGAAAGTTCTGCTGAAGTTCAGGAAAGTCCTTCCAAAGTTCAGGGAAGTCTTGCTGAAGTTCAGGGAAGTTCTGCGGAAATTCAGAGAAGTTCTGTTGAAGTTCAGGGAAGTTCTGCCGATGTTCAGGGAAGTTTTTCCGAACTATAGGGAAGTCCTACCAATGTTCAGAGAACTCCTGCCGAAGTTCAGAGAAGTTCTACTGAAGTTCAGGGAAGTCCTGTTGAAGTTCAGGGAAGTCCTGTTGAAGTTCAGAGAAGTTCTGCTGAAGTTCAGGGAAGTTCAGGGAAGTTCTGCCGAAGTTCAGGGAAGTTCTGCCGATGTTCAGGGAAGTTTTTCCGAACTATTGGGAAGTCCTACCAATGTTCAAAGAACTCCTGCCGAAGTTCAGAGAAGTTCTACTGAAGTTCAGGGAAGTCCTGTTGAAGTTCAGGGAAGTCCTGCCGAACTTAAGAGAAGTTCTGCTGAAGTTCAGGGAAGTTCTGCCGAAGTTCAGGGAAGTTCTGCCGAAGTTCAGGGAAAGGCTGCTGAAGTTCAGGGAAGTCCTTTCATTTCAATTCTCGGAAATCAGGAAAGTCCTGTAGAAGTTCAGGGAACTCATGCCGAAGTTCAGAGAAGGCCTGCCGAACCTCAGGAAATTCCTGCCGTAGTTCAGAGAATGTCTGTCAAAGTTCAAGGAACTCCTGCTGAAGTTCAACGAAGTCCTGCCGAAGTTTAGAGAAGTTCTGCTAAAGTTCAGGGAAGTTATGCCGAAGTTCAGGGAAGTTATGCCGAAGTTCGTGAAATTATCTAATTATCTGCAAACACAAACGTACGTGACAAATTGTACAAACAAGCGTACAGGTAGTCGAATCTTCCCAATCGCAAAGTAATCCGATAGCACCAATCCGGCAAAGGCCACACGAAACGAGTCTGACAGTGAGTAGGTTTTTTTCGTCCCGACGGAAGACACTGAATGCATCTGAATGCAATCCACAATTTTAATTTTCGGAAGGGAAGGGTTATTGAAAGGCTGGAAAATTACTGGGATAATGCGTGCTACCGGTACTTCGCGTACTTGAAGATTATAAAATAGACCCGTCACGCAAGTGAAAGTGGTCCTTAGCCTCTTGCCCAGTAACTCCTATCCCTTTCTCCCCGCGGCGCCGGCTGGGATACGAGTAACCTTAGGGAAGATCGGGTAACCAACTCCGATGGGCACTTTGGTCGTATGCTGACCGGGAAGGGGAAGCTGCATCCTTTTCGGAGGATGTGGCTTACAAAACCCGAGTGTCTGTTCACCATGTTAGGGGTGGCTCAAACAGCGTCTGACTGGCATCCAGCGGCTGAATACGAAATGCTTCTCCCCGAAAGCTATACCCAAGATGGCAGTCCCATCACGGCGGATAGGAGACTTTAGGCCAAATACCTACTGTTTCCGAAACCTTCAAATTGTTACAGAAACCTATAGTGAAAGATTACGAACTGATCTTATGGCAACGACTTTTAGCGCTAAACAACGGACAAGAATTGAAACATGGAATGTACTGACGCTAGCCCAACAGTGACTCGCCAGTGAGGCCCGCCGTATGAAACTAGAAATCCTGGGACTTAGTGAAGTCCGCTGGTCGAGCTTTGGAGAACAGAAGCTGCTTTCGGGACAGGTACTTTTATATTCTGGTATGCGATGTGAAAACGCTCCGCGACATCGTGGAGTTGGCTTTCTGCTTAGCGCCCAAGCACAGGCTGCGATCATCAAGTGGAAACCTATCAATGAGAGAATAATCGTTGCCAGATTCAGAACGCGGGTCCGAAACCTTACCATAATCCAATGTTATGCGCCAACCGATGCTGCCGAATTGCAGGACAAAGAGAACTTTTACAGTCAACTGAATGCTGTCGTGGATAAGACTCCAAGAGGTGATGTTAAGATCTACACAGGCGACTTCAATGCGAAGATCGACTCCGACAACTCGGACTATGAGCGCATTATGGGACGCCATGGTCTTGGAGATATGAGCGAGAACGGCGAGCTGCTTGCAGAGATTTGTGGC